GTTTTTATTATGATTAGTGCTAAGTGGTTTTATTTCAACAGTTACGGTATTTTTTTTTTATGTGAAAAAAATTTATTAAAACAAATGCTTTCTAAATGAAATGAATTTGCCCTCGCTGTGTCAAAAAGTAAAAAAAAAAAATATTTAAATGAATAATAAATTAAGCAAAAATATATGTACATATGTATAAGCACACAAACAAATAATTGCTTGTTGGCCACGCTCGATCGCATTCGCAATATTTGCGCCGAACTTATTGACGATCGCGCTGACTTGTGCACTTTATTATTATTATGTTTTGAATTCATTTAATAATTTCTTTCATTTTTCAGTTTTTTTCTTTCATATTTTTATTTTTTTTTTATTTATGTTCGTTTGTGTGCCCGTTGGTGCGTTTTTAATTTATTGCCCGCTTATTAATGAAATTGATCGTTAAATTTATGGCTGCTTTAAAGCATTTTATAGCACACTTAAGTATACATTTTTATTATAAAATATGGCTGACGGGTCAGGAGAGTGGCGCGCACAAAATTATGGCAATAAATATATGCATATGAAGGCACATACACACATACATATATATATATGTGTAAATACATATTGTATTTTTAAAGCGTACTTTCTTATTTGATTTGTGGTTTCCATTCGTATCGTTTGGCGTTGGTTGTTTTTGTACTTATATACATACGAGTATGTGTCACATTATCATATATATATTTTCATTATTATTATAATATTTCTTAAATTTATTTTGCATTTTCTATTTATCATTTTTGTGGTTTTTGCCAAAGCTAATTTTGCCGCTATAAATTTTGTGCTACTAATTTTGACGCCTATTATTTACATACAATACACACACGCACACACACATTATCATGAGAGTGTTAATTATTGTCTAAAATATGTCAAAAGGTTATTTCGTAATTTTTATGAAAGCAAGAAGGAGAAAATTCAATAAATTATTAATGTTACAAAGGAACAAGTGGTTTTAATTAATTTGCATTTATTAATTGTGTGGGCATGATTTATAGTATTTACGGCAAGCATTTAAGGTGTGTGTTTTTGGGATGGAAATATTATTTAAGCATTTATGAGCAGTTGAAATGTAGTGAAAACAAATTTATTAGTTGTTGATTTGTCACAGCTATAAAAATGTATGCAAATATTTCTCTGAATTTGTAATTTCATTATATTAAAGATTTTATTGCCTTTTTTCTTGCCATAATTCGTTTTATTTATCATTATGCCGTGTATAAGCAATTTGTGAAATTATTAATATTTTTTAATGCTAATCAGTAACACTTTCACAAAATAAGTAAAAATAAAATTATACTTTATTATGAATTTTTTGCTGTAATTTTTCTTGTTGCTTAAAAAATATATATACTTCATAGCCTGACCATGAGCTAATCTTTTTTTCAATGAATGTTATTTACGGTTAATAAAGCCGGAATCAGTTGTTCAATATTAACCTTTTAAAATTATTGGTAGAGTTTCAATGAAAATTATGAAATCGAGGGAGAAAAATCATTGATTATGCATAGGAGATGAAAGTTTTCTCTGGACATTTTAAGTTAAGTTTTCTTGAGACAATAAATTTTTGGAATAACAATTTGCATGGTAGAAATTATTAAATTTATTCTAATTTTAATTTTATTATTTTTTAGTTAATTTTACTGCACCGAGTTTGATCTCGCACCTAAGAAAAACATTTAAAAAATAATAATATTATTATAGGAAGTTTATTTAGCATTTGATAGGATCCTTGACGAGTTTTGATCGAACTCTCTGAGTTGAACAACGAGTTTTAGTTTATCACAAATTCTTGTAAACCTATACAATAAATAAATAAATGAATAAATAAATAAATAAATAAATAAATAAATAAATAAATAAATAAATAAATAAATAAATAAATAAATAAATAAATAAATAAATAAATAAATAAATATTTTTGTTTAAAAAATGTGAAAATATCAAACTTTTAAGAAAATAAAAATTTATGATGAGTTAGATTTAAAATAAATTATATATATATATATAAAAATTTTTTTTAAATATATATTTATATAACCAACTTTTAAGAAAGTTTTTACATATTTAAAAAAAATGTATATATATATATTTTTTTTTTTTAAATTTAACTCATCATAAGTTTTTTTATTAACAAAAAATATGTAAAACTTTCTTAAAAGTTTGAAATTTTCACATTATTTGATCAAAAAATTTAATATAATAACTTTCAAAGTAGTAAAACTTCGCTCCAAAATTAGCTTTGCTGTCATCGATTATATGATTTTATACCTAATTAATAGACAATTTTTATAAAATTTCCCATGCAATGCCATTCACATAGACACTCAGTTAGCCAACAGATAACTTCACAGCAATTAGACACCGAATTGAAGCAAAATTAGTTTTAATGCAATATAATTTGCACTTTTTTTTTATAAATAATTGCTCACACACATATTAAGCTTCTAGCTGCAACAAAAATAAATATGCTTATTGTAATTGATTCTATAATAAATCTACACGAAATTTTGTATTCAAAGTCCTATTCAGATATGCATGGTATTAGCTAATTGAGATTTCTTAAGGGCCTTATTTTAATGAAATAATAATTACAATATTTTATACACCACCCTGTTCACACAGGTAATCAATTAGCTAATTCATAAAATGTATTTATGGGAAACTTGCGTAAAACTGGAAATATATCCCTGTTCAGACAGGCACTCAATTAAATAAACGGCAGCTTTTGCATAGTATTACACACGCTTTCCTATAGAGTATGCTCAATGACAAAAGCGGGTGGTTTATTTTATGTTAATCTAAGTATCAGAGAAATAATATGCTATTAAAACAAATAAATACCGAACGAAAGATTAAAAAAATTTATTTTCATGTGTGTTTTAAAGCGCAATTTATTTAAAAAAATTGTGTATCCCATTTATAAAGTAAAAAAATTGAAAAATGGTAGGCTTTTTGGAGCATTATCAAATATAAATACAAAGTTTTCTGAAAAAATAGTTTGAAATTCAAAATTAATTTAAGAGGATGAATTGTTAATTTTGATTTATTAAGAAATAACTTTCGTTTACTTTGAGCTAGAGAGTGGGTAATTTAAAAGGCTCTCGGTGGTTAAAATTTGTATTTAGGGTCATCTGCATTTTCTTAATATTTATTCAAAAAAAAAAAAAAAAATTAATTATAAAAACAAGTGAAGCTAGTTATTCAACAATTAACAAAGGGCTCTGAGACGCAGCAGATGTACGTTCTTCTGAGAACTATGATTTCTGTATTGCTGGCTACTCAACAGTTGCAGCTCGCAAACCGTTCAGAGGATTGAACTCAAGCTTAGGCAACGGTTGGAAGACATACGAAAATATTTTATATTTCTCTACTTAATTTGGATTTTATTGTGAACAATAAACTAGTGAGTTTGAAAACTCTGTATCAAATTTTGCTGTGCTTTTAGAAGAAAATTTAAAGGATTTTCATAAACCTCTTATGGCCACAGCAAGTCGTTTCTTAATTTTAGTTCAACACAAATCAGTATGATTATAATTTTTTTTTAATTTTATATTAAAAACAAAATTGTTTGCAGTTTTTTGATACTACTGACTGACCAAACTCCTTAAAGCTCTATTCGATACCGCTTTTTATGTATTTTTAACATATTCTCTATGTAAATTATTATTAAAAGTAGGGTGAAATAAGGTAAACATTTTTTCTTGTCGTTGTATTTCCTATTTTCCTTTGTAAAAAACTCAAAATAACGATATTTTATGTATTATTTTAATTGTGTGGTATAATTCTGCTCTTATAATCGAAAATCGCTGTACAAAAAAACTCAATAAATCTTTAAAAAATAAAATTAAAAAAAAAATTAAAAAAAAATATATTTTTTAATATACAATAAAAAAAACTCATACATCTGCAATATCAAAAATTTAATGAAGAGTTGAAAAAATGAATTATTTCAAAATTAGACCAGAATCGTCAACTCCCAAAAATGAAAATGCTGAATATAACCACGTCTTTTAAAGAAGGTATTATAAATTTTTCTCTAGAGCCTTTTATTACCTGCTAAAACATATTAAACCTCGCAATATGGTTATGAAATTTTTTTTGTTGTTATTGTCAAGAAATTTATTATTTATCAACAATAATAGTATTTAATTTCTTAGCAACATATGGTTTTAAAACTATGCTGTAAGTTTATGATAGGTACCAACAATTTCTGAGGTGATCAGCCAACCTACTTGTGGTCGATTCTAGACACTTATCATTATACTGTCCTTCGATCTCTATGAATTTCATGTATTTCAAATGTGTAAAAATTGACAAAAGCAAGGAAAATAAAGTATATAAAAAACAGTAATAGAAAGTGACAGTTAAAAATAATATAAACTAAAAAACTTATAACAAATCATGGCCGCCAAAACAATGCTGGATATAAATTTTTTGTTTATTATATTGTAAATAACTTAATAAAAAATTAAATTTTTAAATAAATTTAATTTTTTTAATCTATTTAAATTTTTAGCTAAAGTTTCTCACCCTGAATACGTGAGAAAAAAAAATATTTGCTTGGATTTAGTAAAGTTACTCATACGCCCCACCATTTCTCCCAGCTTTAATTTAAAAATCGTGCTTAATTAAGCGTATCGAAGTGTGAAAATGTGAGATAATATAAATTTTTGTAAATTTAATTATTTTTGAGAACATAACTAATTTATTTTATAGCCTTCAGAATTTGTAAATTTAATTAATATATATTTTAGACTTCAGATTTAAGATTGATTTTTTAGTACGTTTAGTTTATGGTTCTTATCCCTTTTGGTCATCATCTAAATATATAATGGAGCATTTAGTATAAAATCTTCATAAAACTCTACAGCCTGTAACATCTAAATAAAATTTCATTTTTTTTTAATAATTCAATGTTACTCATATTTAATGAATATTTATTTTTCTTTTGCTCTTTTTTTCAGGTGAGTTTCCTAAATAAATGATAAAATGGTCAGATATAACACATATGCACACTTATAAGAAAATTGTTGGGTAAGATATTTAAGTATATAGCAGTTATATCATGGATTAAAATGTATTTTCTTAAGAAAATTTAAGTTAAATTTAATAAAAGAAACATTTGCGGTAAAAAATTAAATTTTTAATGAAACTTGGACTAAATTAATTAGGAAATATTATGATTTATAAAGAAATATACCACAAAAAGTCAGGCAAAATTATATAAAAAGTAATGATTATTTTTGAGCATAAAATAAAGTAGCTGAGTGTTGAAACAAAAATCGAAAAGCGCGAATTATATTATATTAAATCGAAAGTATTTAAGTTGATAATTAAATAAATTTTTCTCACATTCTCATCGATTCATAAAATCCGAAAATTTTTTTATTTATTTAAATTTCTTTTAAATATCGATCGAGCATTTTTTAATTAATGCAAAATCAGAAAGAATTTGGGGATAATGTTCCTATGTCTCGGTTTCAACTTTTTTTCTATTTTTATTTAATTAAAAAAAAATTATATACATATGTTACATACACACATACTATCATAAAATCATCTATATAATATTAAATGTCTGTCATATATATTTTTATGTATTTTCACATACATATCTCAAACACAATTCGTAAAAACGTCATTCATCCTCACCTTTACACAATTTCCTCTGATTTTTGCAATTGTCAAGAGGTTCATATCAAAAGTGCGAAATGTGACTTACTATGTCAAAATCAACCTGACGCTGATTGTCATTTTAAAACGAACGCAATTCCAATTTCAAACCAAAAACAGCAACAACAAAATACAATGATAATGGTGAAAACATGAATCATAGTATACAAACATATGTATGTATGTGACTGCAACTGTGGGTGCAAATGTGAGTAAAGGTATGTATGTATGTGCTGGTAATAGTTAAATACCCAACACTCGATCCCATGGCATTCAAGAATCCAAACGTGTGTTATGACATGTTGTACGCTGTCATAAATGCTGACATTTTCAACGGGTCATGGATGAATGTTCGGCTTTGTATGTGAGTAAAGTCATTTTGTGGGTTACTTGGTGGAAAGTTAGTTGAGTGCTGGGTGTCAGAGAACGACGTGAAATTTATACATATGTACATAAGTGTGTACTCAGGTGGGACAAGTTGGTGTTGCACTCTTTATATACATTCATACATACATACAGACGTATCTATGTACACACATATATATGGGAAAGTAGCTTGGGCCACATGTACGCATCTGTGCATATAACTCTCTAATGATTTTCCTATGTTTGTTTGTAGATGTTTTGCTAAATGACAGCTGAAAATATTAAACTATTCCTTTAGCTTTTGCGCTGCTATTAAGCTGACATTGGAAATTATGGAAAGGAAAACACCATACCAAGCAACTGTTATTTCTAGTATAAATTCTTGGAACCCTACTACTGCAATTATTTGTAAAACGCTGTTCACACAGCCAAGAAATTAACTAATTAACGCATTTAAGCAATTAGGTTCTTAATTGCAATAAAAATTGATTTAAACAGTAGCCAACTGATAACACTCATATAAAATTGCTCTTAAAAGCCTGTTCACATAGACAACCAATCAGTTAATTGAAAAAACTTATTATTTAAAAAGTAAAAGTGATGCAAAACTAGCTGTATTATAATTGATTCAATATTTCTGGAACCAATAAATAGAAAATATTTATAAAAACACTCATTTAAACATGTTCATACAGACACTGAATTAGCTAATTGAATATTTTTCAATAATTAAGTTCTTAAATGTAAAAAAAGTTAAATGTTTTCTGTTATTAAATACAAATTTATCGAAAATCACGCGTAAAATACTCTCAACTATTTATGTCACCCTGTTCACATGGCAAAGCAATTACCTAATTAAGCCCCTTATTGCAACAAAGTAGAGTTTTTCTCGAATAAATTGATAAAATTAAAAAAAAAAAAAAATAAAAAAAATAAAACAGCGTAACCAACTCTGTTCACACAGGTATGCAATTAGTTCAATACGCTGCCGCATTTAGCATAAATTATTAATTCTATTATGGATAGTTTCAATTTACTTTATTCTAAATGATGATGAATGAATGCTTAAACTAATTGATAAAAAATTTTCTAGAAATTTTCCATGTAACCGTGCTCAATAGGCATCGATTCTGCTAATTGAGAATTTTACAGCATTAATTTAAATTATTGTAAAATAATAAATTTGTTATAATTGATTTTACACTACTGGAAATGAAATTTCCATAAAATTGCTCATTTAAAACTGTTCACACAGCCATCCAATTAACTAATTGAGAACTTGGCAGCAAACTGAACACCGAATTGAAGAAACACTATATTTATTATTTATTATGATTAAAAAATTCACTAAAAATACAAAAAAAAATTTTTCACAATATTCATTATTCATAAATAACCAAAGAAAATTTTCATACAATTCAATTGTTCAAACAAATGCTCAACTAACTAATTAAGAAACTGCAAAATTTGGTTTCATTTTAGTTTTATTTCAGAAAAAAATTTCATGAGCAATATTACGGTGTTCGCTATCAACCACGGTTCGTATCGACTCAATTAGTCGTGTTCAAACAACAAAACTCTCCGAGGCAATTTAAACTTTAATTCGATTATTCGATTAGTATTAGCTATTTAAAGCTTAATTGAGAGCACATATGTGAACATCAAAATCAGTGACGCAATTTGAAGTCTAATTGTAACGGTATCAGCTGTGAAACGCTGATTCAATGAACTTAACTGAAGGTGTGGGAAGCAAAACTCGGTGATGTAATTTATGTTTTATCGGTATTAGCTGTCAAACGTCTTTTATTATCAAACTTATTGAACGTGTGTGAACACCAAACTCAGTTATACATTCTGAGGTGTATTTTCAATGGAGATAGGTGCTAAATACTCACAGTAGAAACTAAATTGAATGTGTGTGAACAGCAAGTTGAGTGACGAAATTTAAAATTTCATATTTACGTTATCAACTGTCAAATGCTAATTGTATCAACGTAATTAAAAGTATATGTAGGAACACTAAACTCAATGGCGTAGTTTAAAATTTACGGTATTAGTGTCAAACACGAATTGTATTAAGATTATTAAACCTGTGTGAACTATAACCTCATTGATGCAATTTAGTGTTTGATTCACGTGGTATCAGCTGTCAAATGTTCATACCTTCAAACCTACTTGAACGTTCGTGAACATCATAATCGTTACTGCATTTGCAATTTTAACGGTTTCAGTTACCACTAAATGTATCAACTTAATTTAACGTGTTCACACACGAATTTAGTGACGCAATTTAATGTTTAATACTAACAGTATCAGCTGTTAACGACTATTTTAATCAAACTCAATTAAACTAATTGCATCAAACTAATTGAACGTGTGTGAACAGCAAATTTAGTGACACAATTTAAACTTTAATAGTCTCAGTTAATTTTCATAATTAGTAATTTCACACCAAATAGTAAGAAATTTTGTTTACTGGTTTTGGTTAAGCTCCCAGTGGTGAAAGGTACACAGCCTGCAACACAGTCAAAAGCAGATTTTTTGTACAAATATAATGTTCCATGTTCGTTGCACTCGTGTCCTGAATATTTACTTGTCTGTCTGTTATTTCAACTGTCAGGCCATCAGTCAGTCAGTCAGTCGCCTAGTCATTCACTCAACCAACATAGTGCTGCGTGTGGCTGTCATGTCAAATGTTAAGCAATAAATGACTGACATAACATTTGACGCATAACAAAACTAACGGTATACTAAAAGTGAAAGACAAATGAAATGAAAAAAAGTGCTTGCAAGTATAGCTAAAAACTTTAGAAATACCGCAACATTGTAAATATCTACATTGTAGTGCAGCCAACAACAACAATGATAAATATAAACAACAACAAAATATCAACATCAACAAGGACAATCAGAGCAAATGTCAAAAAACTAAACCAAAAAAACAGGTGGACAAGCAAACAAGGAGTGACAGGCAAGCAGAGTGGTTATGGAGTGTGGCTGAGCAGAGGAAGAGCGAGTGAGTGAGTAAGAAGAGAGAGAGAGTGCCGTGAAGAGATAAGGTAAGCTGTGCTGTGGTGTATTGTTTTGAAGTGCGGTGAGGTGAGTTGAAGTGATATGAAGTGAGGTGAAGCGTGTTTTTTGAATAGTGAGTAAGTGTAAATTCGTGATATCTTTTGTGGCCGGTGATAGCAGTGGCAAGCGCGTTGCCAAATAAACTACATAGAAATATTCGTGCTATTTTTTCAAAGACTAAAAAGTAAGAAATTTACAAAGAAAATTCTTAACCCGAAAGAGAAGAAAAAAAATTTATTGTCGCACTAAAATTGCCAACAACAACAAGATCTACATATATCTTATGCCAACAAGATGTTAAAGAAATACATATAAAAAATAAAATGAGTAACTAAAGGTAACAACAACAACTGCTTACCCTCGCCTTCCCCACGCTCACTCGCGCCACTATTGCACACAAAAAACATGCTGACAACAAAACGTTTTGCAAAATAGTGCAAGACCCTGACAATCAGAGTTTTAAATGCGCATTGCAAAATACTTTTGCTGTCGCCTGTCATGTCCATGTCCGTGTCGTTCACGCTAAACCGAGCGTCGGCGTCCTGCTTGCTTGGCACAGCTATACGCCGACACACAAACAAACCCCTCATCATAAGCCCCAGCAAACACCCCCGCTAGCGTGTGGTCCTCGTTGTCATCGTCATCGTCGTTGGTGCCAACATTTGTACTATTTTACGATTGCAACTCTGTGACGGCAAGCTGTCACTGTCATGCCACTGTGCTATTGTCGTTCGTTGCTGCTCTTATTGTTGCCAACGTTTAGTTTTTTTTTTTTTTTTTTTTTTTTTTTTTTTTTTATTGTTTTGCCTTTGTTGCCGTTTGCCGCAATATCGTCGGTGTCGGAAGTCACATTTTTGCACTTGTCGCTGAAGTCTTTTTTACTGCTCGGCTTGGCTTGACTTGGCTGCCTCACTGGCTCACTGGCTGGCTGACTAGCTGGCTCACTAACAACAGTAATACATTAATACTATATATACATATATATATATATATATATATATATATATATATATATAAATGTTGAAATGGATGCGTGCAGCTGTGCAAAATCAGCGTATATACGTATGTATGTATGCATGTGGCTGCCTGGCGGCAGTGGCAAA